CGACAAAACACTCACAATGACGAAGCACGGGGAGACCAAGACGATTGTCAGAATCGAATAGCACCCACCTTATCTACTGCTCCCCCTCCTTCGTTCTAAGTTCCCCACGCAACCCTTTCGCAGTGACAATGAAAATTATGAAATCTTTTTCGGGTGTAAAGGATTTTTGTCTGTGTGCTCATTATGGCTGTTGGCAGTGTGCCAAAGTGAGCAGAATTTGGCAATTATGCGATAAATTGCTGCCGTTGCCGTCGCAGCCGTTGGAAACAGCGGACTGCAACTAAAAATACTCTGTTACTATATGTAACTGTGGCCAGTCAAAGGCACTTAATCATATGTTAACTGTTGTTGTTGCTGTTGTTCTATATATTTGCTGTTTTCTGCTTTGCTGCAAATGTTTTTTTTTCTTGACACTTTAATCCTTCGTCTATGTACCGCTGATTTTTTGCGTGTTCTCCAATAGCTTCTTCGTTATCTGCTGTATCTTTTTAGCTTTCTTTGAGCTCATGAAAGTAGCAAAGGGATTCTTGTGGATACCATTTTGTTTATCTTTATTTTCGACGTCGTTTATTATTTTTTTGTTTGCGTTTGATGGTGAAGAAAAAAGTACGTTTGTTTATTTGTTTGTTTGTTTTTAACTAAATCAATTACACTATTGAATTGTCATAAATTGGCTGGCAATAACTGACAGTTAAATAGCTTTATGAGAACTTTTTTTTTGTAATTTTCATCGTTTGTTCATCTTGGAAACGTTTGGTAATGTTAGTAAGTTGGAAACTCTAGACTATCAGCTGTAAAAAGAGGTGGTGCAGGAATTGTTTGGAAAGAAACTGTTCGTCGACAAACCTTAGACACCAATGTTCAGTTACATGAATTGTTGTGGTCAGATTTTAAAACTATACTGTTAATGATTCAGCTTATACAATGCACATAAATGTTGGGATTTTTTTTTTTCTTCTGTATGAAATGTTTTTTTAAAACATTTCTTTTGTCAAGTCGCAAGGACTTCTGAGTACGAAAGTATATATATTGGGAGAAGATCGATAATTTTATGAGAATTAAGATGAAACTAGTAGGTTTTTGGCTTTAAGGTATATTTTGCTTTCAGTTTTCCGTCTAAAAGATTAAAAATAAAATTGAACAGATGAATTGTTCGAGCGTTTTGAACATTGGATCTTGTTTTGCAGTTTAATTGTATTTGATGAACGTTTTAAAGATTAAAACTTTTTTTACTGTTTTGGTATTCTCTTTCAACATTTCCACTATCAATAGTAATATTTGTTCTGAGAATAATATGGGATATATAACCATACAAGTTTAGAGTTTATATCTAACAAATTCATTTTTTTCTTAAACAGATTTATTGCCCTGTGGTACTTAAGTTGGGTTCCTACTGAGGTCTTAAAGCAAACTATGCTACATCCTTAACTGGTTTTTTGTTACTTAAAAAGACTATTAAATAATAAAGAAATTGTGGTATGAAATTTTTCAACTGCATTTTATGCTCTTATAGAACTTATTTTTATGAAGATATAGATTGTGAGGTTTCCTGATTTTTTAAAAAGAAAAATTCCTTTTCAACGAATAATGATAACGAAGTTTTCAAGTGCCTAATTAAAAGTGCTAAAAATTTTGATGGAATCAAGTTACCACAGACTCAGGTGGTTTATTTCCGTTCAAGGATTGTCAGATACCTTCTCCATATATTATCAATCAAATTTAATATACCTTGTTTTTTATTCTCTGAAATATTAAATCGCAACGTCTAGAAAGCGGCGAAAAAACTACCGCCATTCTCACGGGACTCAGAGGTGACAATAAATCAAGACGAGGCACTGAAAAAACTACTTTAATGCGGTTTTTGAGGACATCGATAATTATTTAGTCTATAGAATTGTTTTCAATTATTAGACACAATAACCATGAATCTCAGCTGAATTACCTTGATGACAAGGTCAAATTTTCCTGGATTCCCTTCCCGTATAATTGCTGCGGCAGATCGTTTATGCCGGGATTTACCACTCGATTGCAGTTTTAGCGGCAAGAAAATGATCTGAGATGAGTTTTTCTCGTTGGATGTAGTCTCAAACTGGTGGAGTTAGAGGCCAGATCTTTCCCTTCAGAACTCGAGGCTTTCCCTGTTACAGCGAATCGTGCTGCCATTTATGGGCTTGTTATGAATGGATTCTCATTGCTTGCTTAGTTGAATGGCTTTGCCGAAAATATATTCATTTGCAAATTTGGTGAAGTACTTTCTTACAGATGCCAAATTTAAATAGTTTTTCGGTTTTCATACGTATTGAAACCGGCATCGCTAACAACTTAATTCTGATATTTTGGTTTTCAGTGACTGCATACTCTTTGCCTTTTGGAATGGAAAAACCACGATTTATTTCTGCCAGAAAGCTGCGATTATGTTGAGGAAATTGTAGTTTCACTTCTTTATACTGTTATTATTCATTGCGTAGTTTTAATATTTAAGTGATTTCCTTTTGCGTACGTTAAAACCATTTGAAACGTCCATTGCTCAGATTTCGCTTCTCACCCATACATTAATAATCTTTACGCCTTCAAGTCATTTCTTCTGGTAATTCAGAAGCCCGCCAGCTACTTTTAGCGGTACTAGCATACGCGCTTCGATAAAAATTCTAATTTTCATATAAGGACGTTTTAGCGTAGTCTGTAGCATATCACAGTTTCATATCTTGAGGAGATGAAGAATGTGGTTTCGAATGCTCAGCATACTTGTTCATTTCTTGCTACGGTATCAAAAAAACTCGTTGAAAACCATATAATTTTGAAATGAATTCCAGAGTGAAATTATAAAATTACAAGTTCTACTGCAAGACATTCTGGAAGACTAAAATGTTAAAGTTCGACTTCCATTAACAGTGGTAATTTTATTTGAGATGGATTTCAGCACCACATTTGAGACCATTTTTGGAAAACGTTTTTAGCGCAGAATATTACTTTGTTTTCTGAGTCCATTGTTTTTAGCAGCTGGATTAGTCTTGGTGAAAATTTTTGCAGCGCCCATCCAATTCCTTTTCCGTCCGATCAAATTGATCTGGTTTTTGTCCTTATAATGATTCACAGTACGGAAAACAGTTGTAGGCTGGAAAACGAGGCTCTTCTGTAGTAATCGTGGAAATTTTAATTTTTTAACGTCACTTTGTGTTAAATCGATACCTGAACGATTGTCGAAGAGTTTTCATTCACTCAGTCGACTATCCATTTACCTCTTTCAGTGCATCTCTTCTATTTTATATAGACTATCGGTTTCCAATAGGTTCTACCGCTATATGAACCTGTAAACTTTATCCATGATCTTCAACCCATCCGCATTCCATCCGACTTCCTTCCCGTACCTCGGTGCTGTTCCCAAGTACCTCGCAATTGTCGATGTCGGTTATGCCGAGAAGTTATATTGCGAAACCCTTATTTTATTGCTCATTTTGTGTGCAAAGTTAGTGAAGGGTTAATTGTTTCTTCTCTTCACTCTGAATCACGATGCAGCGAATGAAAAGAGAGGATAAAGTTTTAAAACAGAAGACAATTAATTTCCTTCTTTTTCCTTCCTCTTTAGGCAGTTTACAGTTATGGGCTGTCTTTTTTTACAATTTTAATATTGTTTAGCGAAGGGGAAATCAGGGATCTTGAACGATATACTTCAGCTACTTTTAAGGAGCTGTTAAGTAATGGAATAGTAGAGTTAAACGGTCATAGGATAGTGAGAGACTGCTTGGGGATATAATAAGAAGGTTTAACGAAAATGCGTTGTAACAGTGACTTTTTAAACTTACTTCAGCCGGTGAAGAACACCAAAATTGAAATATTGTATTGTTTACTCACGAATCTGCTAACGAGTCCGCAGTTTACACCTTACTTACCAGCGCAGCCACTTCAAGATTTGAGGCATTCCGGAGAATGTTTCTGTTCCACTCTCTTTGACGTGTACGCCACAATTGGATAGTGTAACTGTTGCTGATAGTCGTCAGATTTTCATAAACGTAATTTAGGCCCGCAAAAAAGCTGTGGGCCAAGCGCTTCTGCAGTAATTTACAAAAATAGCTGCATTTTTTAAAAAAATTGTACAATTTTTTACTTTTTGAATTTACTTTCGAAAAATCCACTTTAAGTTTCTAAAAGATGCTGGGTGGCTCTTAACCGTGCATTACGCGACCATACAGAAAAACAGTTGAATTTGCGGTTGCGATGACTAGGATTCATGTCACTACTTCATAAGGCAAAGAACTGTTGAACTTTACCACGAAAATACCCCTCCGAATGGATGTGAAGGAAAGAAAATAAGACCTAACATAACACTTAAAATATCAAAACTCAATCCTTTTATGGTAAAACTACCAAGGCAATTAAAAAGTGATTCACAAAATAAGTTTGTTTTTTTATAAAAACCAGTAAAATTTTTTTTTTTTTTGGAAATTTGGAAGAACATTCAAGAGGATACTAAAAAAGTGCTGCAAGATTATGAACTGTATTTTTCCTGACCGTTTACACACTCTAAAACAAAAAGTTACCTAGAAACTGCCATGAGGCGTTCCAGAAGCAAGTTGGCATATCGCCATGTGCTGGTTCCTACCTTACCTTTATTAGTCGCTAGTAGGGAAGTAAAGACGAGTTGGAATGCTTTTTTTTACTTCGGTCATGGGTTGTGGTTGGTGAATTTGCCTGATTATACTTGGTAGTTAAATGGAAATTTTGTGGTAAGGACGTTCGGTTTCTTTAAAGTTTCTGGAGCTGTTGCCGTAAGATGGAACTTTATTTGGCACATCTTCGCTTTCTGTAGTCTTCCGCATTTGTAGATGTAGGAGTATCCGGAACCTTCTAACAATTAATTGGTTTATGCTTGATTGGTCATAACTTTTGTGGTGTACAGTAGATATAATTATACATTTATCTGTGCGATAGGGTTTTCAGTGAAACAAAAGTTGTCAGTCCGGAAACGTCTTAAATTTTGACTTAGTTCTACTAATTTTTTATACTTTTCCAGAAATGGAAGTTGATCCTACCGCAACGTCGTCATTGTCAAATGAAACAAAAAACGACCCTCAGAGACATCGTTTGATTAGAGCCCAGTTAAGCTTTCTGCAGAAGGCAGATGGTTCCTGTAATTTGGAGCAGGGAAAAACGGTAATATGGTGTGGTGTCAATGGACCTGGAGACTGCCCGTCTTCGAAACGCTGTGACAACAAGTTATACATTGAAGTTGTTTACAGATGTGGACCATCCCACCATAACATGATCAAGGTTTTTCATTCATTGTTTTGACTATATTAAGGTTAAACCATCTGCGATTATTCCGTTTCATACGTAAGGTACTAGCAGGCTGAAGTAATTTAAGGTACAGACTTTGCCAATATAATTAGTAATTACCATTTCGTTGGCTCTATCATTGCCAGCTTTTTCTTCCACAATTTACAGTCTCGTCTTCATTCATCGCTGGTATGTTATAGTCAAACAAGATATTAAACTCTGTTATTGAACAAACAGTAGAATGTATTCGTTTCCCACGGGCTATGCTCGCCATCACAATCCAGGAAATTCAAGCCGATGGATCAGAAGTAAGTGCATTTTCAGTTATAACGTCCTATGCTTATCAGTTTCTGAATTCCTTTTTATAAAAATTACTCAGCAGATTGGTATATGTTTTTAGTTGGCTGCAGCATTAACTGCTTCTTGTTTGGCACTCCTTGATTCTGGTATTTATATGAATGGTATTTTTTGTGGAGTAAATGTGTGCAGCATAGCCGGGAGAATCATAATTGATCCGTCGAAATCTGAAGCCGATAAAGCAGATGCTCAATTTACCTTTGCTGTAAAAGAATCGAACTTCCTGTGGCAAGTCAGTTCCATTTTTGCAAGTTCAAAATAAAGGTTAAAAGAAGCTGGTAGATTATTAGGTGGACCACATGGGAGGTGCTTGTGCTTGCAGTTTACCAGCTACCAGTACCAAATAACATGCGCTAAGAGAAAGATTTTCTTCTTTTTTCTTTAAATCCCATTTAATTGCTTAAAAGTTCATGCACCTCAAGCCTTCATTACTTCATCAAGTAAAAACAATGTAGAGTACTTTAGGCTTGCTCTCTTTTTTACCGAAAGCAAGAAACATAAAGCCTTTACTTCTATGAAGTTTTCAGAAAAACTGCACCCGCATTGTCGCTTGTGACACAGTTGGTACTTTTGACTTTGCAACTTTTGAAGTAGCCCAAAAGTTGGCACTAGAATGCGCGAAAGATGTCTTCTTGTTTTATCGAGAAACGTTGCAGAGGAAGTTGAAGTTAAGTTCTAACTCTTAGGAGGCTACACCTCTAGAATATGGTTCTGCAGGGTTTTTTAAATATCACTATTTTGTATGCTCCCATCTGTGCTTTACATTGTTTGGAGTATTCCGTATAGAAACGTAAAAAGTGTATTAAAAAAGTGCAGAAAATTTCTGCTGTAAAATAGCAGAGATTTTTAACTTCCCACCGCGACAACCAAACAATTTTTTCTTTACTCCTAATGGCAAAAGATTTAGCGGATTACTCAGACAATTCATTTTTTTTAATTACTTTATAAACTGTTTTGTAAACACATGAAAATAAACTGAAAGACTATTCAAAAAAGAAAAAAAATCAAACTCGAAGCAGCTCCTCATTCCGTGGGACCCGTGTGAAATGGCATAAGAGAACTGCGAAACAAAAGTGTACCCACTTCTGAGAAATCCGTAAAAATTTTCCTTGAAACTGAGGCAGTTTTTGAGAAGAGGCCAAACGTCAAGTGGAAAATGACGCTCAAAGCACAACGTACATTAGTTACATGGCAGACCTGAAATTTCTGTCATGGAAGCTGCTGAATATTCTGAACGACTAGCATCAAAACAGTGGAAGAATTATCTTGAAAAATCTGGGTGATAATCATCTGGTCAGAAAAGCTTTAGGAGGGGATATGATGGCACAGGAGTCTACATACCGGAATACTAGGCATCTTAATAAGCCAAAACTTTCAGTAAACTTGCAAATGCAGATTCAATGGTATTTATATTTGTAAAGACCGTTAGTGGAGTACCCGGTGAGTTGAACTCGAAAAAATTTGAATTCTTTTATTTAACCAGAACTTCCAGATTTTTGAAATTTGATGCCTTTAAACAAAAACAGCTATTTGAAGACTCGTAAGAAAGCTTAGCCTTGCAAACTTAGAATTAAGAAATCCTCACATATCTTTTTTCTATGGTCAGAATGAGGAAGAGTCTAATTTGTGCAATTGCGCAACAAAAAGTCTGTTCAAGAGATATACTACGTACAATTTCCAGCCACGCAATGCAAAAAAATTCCAGTGCAAGCGACTGCTAAAACACGGAGTTTCAGTTAGTTTAATAAGCCAAATTCGACGACTTTAATATACTTTAGTGAAATCCTGATTCTAAGCTGGTACTCTGATAATGAATTTTAAGGGTTGTGGGACTCAACAACATATTCGTCTTTTGCGCTCACCTCAAACAAGTGCACTTAGGAAAAGGTCTGAGAAACCTACCTTTTCAGCTATATTTGAGAAACGGCCGCGACACTCACGAACTAGTCCCATTCACCGGCAGTAAGAAGGGAGTCAGCGAATGCACTGTAATTTGATCGATGGTATCCATCCCAATAAACTTTCCCGCAATTCCCGCAGACATAGAAAACTCTGCAATCAAACTTTTAGTGGGAAATAAAAGTTACACTAATATATTTACAAAATGTACAAAAACCTATTTTCAAAAACAATACATGACAACCTTCCGTCTTTCTCAAGTACTTGCGGTTGCACTTCTTCCAGAGGTACTTCTGTATAAAAATCGTTCTTGTAATAACGCACTTCTCCTGTTCTGTAAAATAGCAGCGTCATTGAAGCCCAACTTATTTATATCAACACCTCGCTTTCTTACTTTAAATTCAGTTTGCCACCGTCACACCGCACTCTAAGGGATGAAGTACCAGAGCACTCCACTAGTTTGCACCCAACCCCTCCGTAGTCACTGGGGTTTACCTAAATAAAATAAACTTAAAGCATTAAAAAGTAAGAAGTTTCACCTGTATACACCATTAGAGAAATTTAGGATTTAAAAAATTTGCGGAATTTCAAAAAGTAATCTTTTTTGACATTTATTTAGTTTACTTTCCTGGTTATCTTAAAGGACTGATAGTTTTTACCCGAAACGTGATTTATTGAAATAAGTTAAACACTAACCATATTTATTATCTGCTTATCCTTTTCTGAATCGCCAGCTTCATCGTAGAAGAATCTCTTTTGATACATAACTTTCAAAACAGGCGCAGGAACTTTAATAAATGCAGCTGCATTGCAATTCTGAAACAGTCAACTTAACGATAATCCAGCAAAGTTAAAAAGTAATATTTTGTTCACCACCTTACAAGCATGAATGAGCTTACCATACATCTTGAAAAGATATCCTCTTCAGTTAAACGTACGTTGAAGTGTTTTAAAACGTATTCTACTTGCTGAATAGCACTCATGTTCTGCGGCGTTGGTAAGCACACAATCCTGTGATTGGTTCGTAAGACAAAATTCCGCATTAACTAAATGCATCAACCGACATTTATTGGAAAATATGAGCATTAAAAAAGAAAGAGACGGAGGTGCCAATTTCACTAAAGACAGCAACTTTTTAAGAAGCAGAAGTAAGGCGCGAAATATAAACTACTATTAGAACAAATCTTAAATTATCCAACTAAGCACCTCATCATATGCTTTACCGGTCGTTAAGATAAATCGTGTCGGATCCTTCATTGCAATCTCTATCAAACTTCTTCTGGTTTCCGACAGAAGCGTATCGATTCCACACCTGAAACAGTTTTGGTAATTCAAAAAATGGCGAGGCAACGCTTCTGAGAAAGACTGATACCGGCAACAGAGCTGTCTACCTCCTTAAATGTTTTCCTAATCCTAGAATCATGGAATCGACAAGCACTTTAAGATCCCTGGGCCTTCTTGTAACACCTTCCATGGAATGGCTAACGCGCTGAAACCTACTGTTACAAAAAGTGAGGATTTTCAAAAAAGTATGTTTAAATAAGATACTGATCAACCCCTCTTTAATGAAAATAAGCCCCATGAAATAATATTTTTACTATCAAAATAAAAAGATAGCGAGAAATCCTAAACCAGAAAAAAATTTTCGTGAACTGCTGAACCAGCATACCTGAATCATCTCTCTCAAGTCATCCTCAGTGAATTTCGCTCCTTTTCGAGCTTTCTTCACTTCTTTAGGTTTAGTGTAGTTTATATTTCCTACGACTAAATGTTCTTCCCAATTTAAACCGTGCCTAAAAATTAAAAACTGACCAAAGAACATACAAGAAAACACAATAAAAGTTCTGCATTGCTCTTTCAGTCATTAAGTTTCCCAGTTTCCAAACAGTTGAACTAAAATTTTTTACTTTAGGATTTTTTAGCATGAGGTAACCTGTCACATTTAAAGTCACGTCATAAAGATTGCCAATAAAAAGAACTAGTATTTATACCAAACAAAGGTGTTGTGTAAGGAAAAATAAATTATCGAAGAAAAAAAAAAGAAGACGAGGAAAGCCCAGAATTCAGAGGAAAATACTTCTCTGCAAGCTCTTTCAATGAATAATAAAGTTTAATCAAGCAGTAAGCGTCTCTCGCTGCATATTTTAGCTGCTCAGGCCTCAAAGGTCGCATTGCCCAGTTGCTAAACTGAAAATTACGTATTTTGGGCCAGGTAAAATGGGAAATAAATTTTAGTATTCAAAAGAATACTTGAGCGCTTTTGTTTAAAGGCTCTCCAAGTACAGCTTCACATAAGTCAGTTAAACGAAAATGTATCGTTTCATTTGCAGCTTCTCCCTCTTTTTCTTCTACCTGTGGCTTGACTGAAATTTACAACGAACTGCACACTCTGCTAAAAGTTGTAAGAAGAATTAAACGCTACAGTAAAATATTAAAGAAGACGATATTTATGCTAACCTTTCTCTCCAAGAGGAATAAGCGTTGGACACGTTGTGAGGAGCTAAAAATAATGACTTTTTGCGAATGCTTGTGAGTAAGAAATTTTATGAGTAGCACGAATTAATTACAGTAATAATATAAGATATTAAAATATCAGTTTTTTCTAGTCTCACGCTCTTGGTCAGCTTCATTAAACAAATGACGTTCTTCATCTCAAGTGACGTCAATAACGGAAAGGTCGAAGTCATTACGCGCATGTCGTTTGAAAAGTCAAAACCTAAACATACCTGGAACTTAAAACGTCATCCTTTCTAAATTATAAACAGTCTCCATGACAGAAAGACCAAACATCAGTGCTGCAGAAAAAATATGAATAAATAATAAACCTAATTTTAGACAACCCTCTGAACATAACAGCTTCTCAAAAAAGGCTGCCCAGTCACTGTCAGAAATTTTAATTTCTAGAGATAGCTTATCTATTAAATAACTGCGATCCTTGAACGATATCTGAATCAGGGCAACCTGAAATGACTGATTTGAAACATAACTACCAATGAACAATAACTGGAAGACCTTTGCATAAAGAAAATGCTCTTAAACTTAATTGAATTAAATTACTTTTAAACAAATTCAGTTGTATTCTTACATATGACAGAAAATTCACCTGTTCTGTTAAACTCATAAATGATGGCTTCCATTCAGTATCAACTCCCACCACATCCGCTTTGGAAATCAAGTCTGCAACTTTTATCAGGTCCTCAAGCGTATCAACCACCTCAATTTGGTGGCCAGCAAATAAATAGCCACTATTTGTTTGTTGCCGCTCGGCAAAATAACTGAAATTTAACAAGAGAAAACAAGTCTCAACTTCAAATTCTGATGAGACCCAACATTATAAAAAATCTAATTAAGCAATTACTTAGCCAAAAATTCTTTTGTTTCATCAATTACAGCTGGGGTAAGATATGGACGAACTGATGGTGGCATATCATCCCACATGTCAAACAGTATTATCCAGCGCAGTGCTTCATAAGGGTTATTAAAATCTTTCATAATCTGCTGTACGAAGTACTTACGCAAATTAGGATGAACCGTCAACGCATGCTAAAAAACCAACAGTTAGACAAAAAGAAAGACTTCAAAACTGTTTAACGAGTGGATTGAGCTCTTTCAGTTTTATGGCCTCACTTTTTCTTCAGCCAATGAAGCCAACAAATGTGGCTCTGTTTGATTACAACCAAAAAAAGCTATAGAACCACTAAACTGAAACAGAGTCGAGTGGGTTTACTAACATAAATGTAATCCATGTATGTCTCCTCTGTAACAAGCCCGTCCATAAAATGTCTGAAGGCCATGTGACGAAGCGAGCTCTGCTGACGGCGATTAGTAAGATTCGGGGCGTTATCAAAAGAAATTGCAAAGTTTGTGACCATCTTATACACCATTTTTTCCAAAGACTTCCCTTGCACTTTTGTGTAAGGAACAGTCATAATACGTCTTTTTTTCAAATCAGAAAAAAAATCTTCTATTTCTGAAAATGAAACAGTATTGGTAGAAATGCTCAATCTGGATGATCCTGACCAAGCTGTGCATTGAACGAAACTGCGAATAAACTTTTCATGGTAAATAGCACTTTCCGACCCGAAAAAATATATTATTATATTTAAATAAAAAATTACAGACGTCTTTTGAGCAAATTGCAAACTTGTTTTACTGCACGCCAATCGTAATAGCTGTTATAACTTTAACCCTCTAATAGGTGCTTTCGCATACGGCAAAAATATTTAATTTACTGTACTGAGTTTGAGTAAATAGCCAGTTTACCTCTATCATGAAGCCCAATTAAGGAATCAAAATACTTTACAAGAGCACTCTGCATGGATTTATTCCCGTCTGCATAAGCTTCTACTGCCATCATCCGGTCTTGTAAAATAGCTGGTACAACTAGTTCCTCTAAAGTAAAACGAGACTGCAACCCAAATATTGTAGCGCAAGTAATAGCATCTTTTATGTTCTGGTTGTTTATCATTTCCTAAAAATCACCAAGAAATCCCCCTACTGAGTTTTTTTAAATTGAAAAGTATATATGCTGAAGCAAATGCCATCATTTGAAGATAAACACAAAAAAAA